GCCAGGCGACGTTCCGAGGTCAGCAGGAGAGCAGAGGTCAGCGCCAGGAGGCAGTGAGAGTACCGGGGAGGCAGAAGTGCGAGGCGGGAGAACCAGCAACCGGGATCGCCGATGAGAAGACTTCCGGAAGGAACTGTGACAGCATGTTTGTGTGATGGTGGAAATCATCCGGCAGAGAGAGGAAAGCTGGCGTGTGGAGGAGAGAGATGTGAATTACCGAAGCATGTCGACTGAAAAGGACCCACCAAGTCACACGGCTGAGAAATTCCAGAAGACGGGGGACAGTGAGAAGATGCACAGAGTTGGAAGAACATTAACGCCAGACTTGCGGAACAGAAAGCTGCAAGCCAGAAACCAAAATATCCTTCGGAAGTCTGAGGAAAACCATATCCAACTTAGAATTCTATCTCCAGCAGACGCTCAGTCAGGCCCCCAATAAAGAGGAAACTCAGCACATATGATTTCCCATGTACCCTTTCACAGGAAGCCACTGGAAAACTTGGGATCCTACACGGCAGAGAGTAAGGGGCTTCCCAGGATGAAAGGGCCAAGCACAGCCCCAAGGGAAGGGGACAGATGCCACGAGGGCGTCTCCAAGGACCTCATGATGTCTTTGAACATACTGGCAGGAGTTGGTTTCTTCTAAAGTTCTTCTAGAGGGACTTCCCTGGTGGCGCAGTGGTTAAAAAATCAGCCTGCCAGTGCCGGGGACACGGGTTCGAGCCCTGGTCCGGGAAGATCCCACATGCCATGGAGCAACTAAGCCCATGTGCCACAACTACTGAGCCTGCCCTCTAGAGCCCGTGTGCCACAACTACTGAAGCCCGTGTGCCTAGAGCCCGTGCTCAGCAACAAGAGAAGCCACCGCAATGAGAAATGAGAAGCCCGGGCACCTCAACAAAGAGTAGCCCCCACTCGCCACAACTAGAGAAAGCCCGCACCCAGCACTGAAGACCCAACGTATCCAAAAATAAATAAATGAATAAATAAATTTTGCAAATAAATAAATGAAGTTCTGCTAGAGAGTTTGGGATTATTTGGCAGTATGTGTGTAACTTACAACATTTGAACAAACACAGAGAACACATAGAGGAATTATTTTCTTCAGAAAGACAAGAAAAGATATGTTGATTGAACCAAAAATGCTCATTTATTAATTAGGAAGGTGAGGGGAAGTGTGTCCATGTGTGTGCATATGCATGTGCATGTGTGTTACATGGGATGCCCACTGCAGCTTTATTTATAAACCTCAAAACTGGAATTAACCCGAATGTCCACCAACTGAAGTGGTTAAATAAATTCAAGGACATCCCACAAAAGAATGCTCATGGTATGTTTTTAAAAACAAAACCTCACCACCCATGCAGACATGGAAAATGCTCATAGTACGTTTTCAGTGTAAGGCAAATACAATTATTTACACGACAAAATCACTCATGTCGGGCTTCCCTGGTGGCGCAGTGGTTGAGGGTCCGCCTGCCGATGCAGGGGACGCGGGTTCGTGCCCTGGTCCGGGAGGATCCCGTGTGCCGCGGAGCGGCTGGGCCCGTGGGCCATGGCCGCTGGGCCTGCGCGTCCAGAGCCTGTGCTCCGCAGCGGGAGAGGCCGCGACGGACCACAAAAAAAAAAAAAAAAAAGTCACTCATGTCAATAGGTGTATGTGTGTGTACTTAAATGTTTAAAAAAGTTTGGGAAGACCCAACAAACAGTTACAGTGTCATCTCTGAGGACGAGGATTGGACAGTTGGGGGTTTGCTGTGGGCTTCCTTCACATATTTCTGTACTGGGTTTCCACGTGTTCTGAGCATGATTTACTTTAAAAATTAAAAAGAACAGGTATTTCCATTTTCAAGGTGGGGAGAAAGGAGTTAGAGGGAGGCATGTGGGAGCAGGTGGCCCTTACCTGCCCAGGATGCAGGCAATGTAGATAAGGGAGGAGGAGTGAAGAGCAAAGAACTGCAAGTGAAGAACTTGATGGTGAACTTGCTCTCTCGCTCTGAGAAGGTCCTGGGCTTCTCTGGAATGAGATGTGGGGCCGTCCCTCCCCCATCCTTCACCCCATGACAGCCCGTGCCCAGCCTGTCCCTATCCTGATGACTCAGGGACACCTGCGACCCCCACCTGTCTCCCAGGTGCGAGCCCCTGCCCTCTCGTGAGCCCCCTTCCCCCACCCCAGGGCTACAAGATCCCCACCCTGAATCCTCCCTCCAGTAGCCAGAGAGGGGCTCAGGGGAGCCCTCCTCTCACCAAAGTCACAAAGCTTCAGTGCCACATATTTGTTGATCTGTGGGAGGGGAGACGGAGGGCTCACCTCGGACCTCAGCAGAGCCGCACCCCCACCGGCACCCTCGCCCTGCCCCGACCCCTGCCTTGGTCATGACGAGGATGCTGTCACATAGTGAACCAGGGCCCCGGTCACCACCACGGCCGTGGTCACCTGCTCCCCCAGGAAGGGCAAGGCGGAGCTGAAAAGGGCAGCGGCCAGGACGCGGCAGATCACCAGGACGTGGGCCATGCCTATCATCAGGCAGATCTGGCGGGGGTCGGGGAGGCCAGGATGGGCAGGCCTCTGGGGGCCGCCCCACCTGCTCTCCAGCCCCACCAGGGGCGCCCCAGGAGTACCATCAACAGAGACAGCAGGAGGATGACGGTACTCCGCGTGTAGGAGTGCTCGTGCCGCCGGGGCTGGTAGTCAGGGCAGGCAATGAGCCCCAGCACCATTTCCTCCTGTGGACGGCACCGGACACGCCTGAGACACGGGACCCCTCACCCACGGGAACCGCGCCTCATACATGTGGACCCCCTCAGACACAGCAGACTCGTGTGGGCCCTGGGCCTGGTCACCTGGCTCAGCCTCATCTGGTCCTCGTCCCACCCGTACAGGTCCCGTTGCAGGACCACACGGGCTCGCTCCCGCTTCCACAACTCCAGGAACACGGTGGCTGCAGCCGGGAGAAAGCAGAGGCCTCACGGCGTGTCCCCGCTGCGTGTGGAGCTCGGCTGCCCCCCAGGTGCCGCAGCGACACACCCCACAGCGCCGTGAACACGGCGAACAGCGCGGTGCCCTCGTTGTCCAAGAGGTGGGTGAGCTGGGGAGAGCGGCGCGTGGGGCTGGGGCGGCCTTCCCTCCCCTGAGAGGACCCCCTGAGCCCTCCGCCCCGCGGGCGAGCGGCCGCAGTGCCCCCCAGGCGCAAACCTTGGCGAAGGCGCAGGTTTCTGAGAGCAGCTGGTGCCTGGGGTTGTGGTCGCCGCGAGGGCACATGTAGACGTCGTGGGCCTCAGAGATCTCCCTGCTGGGGGTGCAGGGACCGGGTTGTCAGCGGCGCTTTCCTGTGACCACTCCTGTGGGCCCTGGGGGACCCCGCCCCAGGCCGCCCCTTCCCTGACTCCGCCCCACCCTCAGTCCCGCCTCCCCTCCATGACCCCACCCCAGTCCCGCCCCTTCCCTGACTCCGCCCCACCCTCAGTCCCGCCTCCCCTCCATGACCCCACCCCAGTCCCGCCCCTTCCCTGACTCCGCCCCACCCTCAGTCCCGCCTCCCCTCCATGACCCCACCCCAGTCCCGCCCCTTCCCTGACTCCGCCCCACCCTCAGTCCCGCCTCCCCTCCATGACCCCACCCCAGTCCCGCCCCTTCCCTGACTCCATCCACCCTCAGTCCCACCCCCTTCACAATCCCGCCCCAACCCTGCCCCTTCCGTGACTCTACACACCCCAGTCCCGCTCGTTCCCTGACTCCTCCCCACCCTCAGTCCCTCCCTTTCACGACCCCGCCCTAACCCCGCCCCTTCCGTGACCTCCCCCACCCCGGTCCTGCCCCTTCCCTGACACCCAAGTCCCGTCCCTTGCCTGACTCCGCCCCACCTGATCTGGCTGGCTTCGAAGTGGGCAAACCTGCTCAGGAAGACGATGAGGCCCACCACCAAGGCGGGCACCAGCATGCAGGGGTACCAGCCGCGCCAGGCGAGGCACTGCGCCACCTGCTCACAGAAGTAGTCCCTAGGGGCACAGCCGTCCCGTCAGGGCCACTCCCACCGGGGGTGACCGTCCGGTGCCGACGCCGGGGTGAGGCATGCCACGTGCGGGGGCGGGCAAGGTGCGTCTGTGCTGCAGGCATCTAAATGTGTGTCTAAATGGGAGCCCGCACAGCAGTTTGCTGGAGGCGTGGGTGTAACCGCTGGGGGCGCAGCCTGCCTATGGGGGCGCAGGTGTGTCTGCGGGGGGCCGTAGTACCTGATGTCACCAACTGGCTGCTCTTGGAACATGTTTCTCCACCGGGCCCATTTCTCCTTTAGGTCTTCCTCCCCCTGAGCACAGGCGACAGACAGTGAGAGCTTCTTGCCTCAGGTCCTGCTCTCAGGTCCTCTCCCAGCCGGCCCACCACTCACCTTGTGTAGGGGAAACCCGGCCTCAAAGACCCCATCCTTCACCAAATCCTGGAGTGTGTCTGGTGGTCACAAGGATTCTCGGGTCAGAAGGGAGTGAGGGGTGAGGGAGGACCCTGTCCCGTTCTCCCCGTGTGACTGCCCCTCCTGGTGGGCTGCTGCACAGGCCACCTGCCCATCCAGTCCTTACCACCAGCGGCCATCTTGCTGTTCAGCACAAAGTTGACAATTTGGATTCTGGAACACAAGAGCTGGCTCAGGATGGCCCTCTATCTGGCCAGGTCCCAGGCCCCTCTGTGTCCTAGCAGAGCCCGCAGACCACCTGCCCTGACCACCTGACCAGAGCCCAGAATCCAGGACTCATCTGGGAGCCCACCTCCTTAAACCCTCCCAGAGTCTAGCTGTGCCCTGGTTCCAAGGTGGGCCTCCCTCAGGGTGGTCTCTCTCTTCCCAGGGCCCCGATGCTCAGCCCTGCAATAGTCTCTCCCAGATCCCTCCCAGACCTCCCACCTCCAATCACCCGTCCCACCTGGAGCCCCCACAGGTCGAGAGCACACTCTTTATGTGCACGAATCCTCTTTGCACCCCTGTGAGCCATTTTGCCTATGGGGCAACTGAAGCTCAGAGAGGGTGAGCAATTTGGTCAAGGCCACACAGCCAGGAAGCGGCACATTCGGGCATCTGACTATACAGTCCTGCTCCTCTGGAACATCCTCCTATGAGACACGGCCCCCTGAGTGTCCCAGGGCACTCCCCACAGCCTGCCCCTCTCAGGCCCTATCATCTTGATGGGGCCTCTATTCATGTGTCCTCCCAAGACCGGCCAGTCCTTCTGTGTTCACAGGAAGCCCCCCTCCACTGCCTCGTATCCAAATTCCAGGAGTGTTCTTCGCTAGTCTCCCTGATCGGGCCCCAGATGAGTTCAGGGGGCCGGGGCTGGGGCCAGGAAGATGATGGAGGAGGGCTGTGGGGAGGGCAGGTGGGCTGGCTTGGAGGCCTAGAGGATCGGGGTGGGGAGAAGCAGGTGCTTGGAGAGAGAGGAGGTGTTGGGTGCCTGGGAAGCAGGGGATAGATGTCCAGGGAGGGGCATTTGGTCTGGAGGAAAGAAGTCAGGATGTGAATCCAGGGAGATGACCTCAGAGCCTAGGAGGGACAGCTGGGAGGATCCTCTCAGCCTCTCCAAATTCTGCCCACCCTTTAAGGCTGGTTTCTATTCTGCATCCGGGGGACATAGTCACATGTAACCTTCAAACACTCCAAGAGGTGAGAACTGTCATTTTCCCGTATTACAGACATGGAAACTGACCCACAGACCCTTGCCCCCTGGGCCCTCCACCCTGGGACCACTCCTGGGAGCCTTGCTGCCTGTCTGGACCGGCATGTGGGCGGGCAGGGGTCCTCCTGGCCCCACTCTGGGCCAGCCTCTCACCTGGTGGTGGCTGGGATGGAAGTTGGCCTGGCCAGCTCCCCTCTGGGGGCGGTAGCCTCGGGCTCCATGAGAAGTCTGCAGTACCGGTCAAAGACCCGGCCATCAGCTCGGATCCCAAAGAACACCTTTGCCTGGTCCTCCCTCACCTGAGGGTGGGGGGCAGCATGGGACCCTCTACTCCACATTGGGACCCTCCCCCTTCATCCAAAGCCAATGGCCTATCTCCTCCTACCCTTCTCCTGCACAAGGCCTCAGCCCACCTCCCCAGACACCTCCCCGGGATCCGCCCAGTCCCCCATGACCCCTGCGCCCAGGCGAGGCCCTCAGCCCGCCCACCTTGTAGCAGAAGCCCTTCCTCTCGAGCTCTTCCAGGAACTGCTGCTGCCGCTGGACCTGCCTGGGGTTTCTCTGGGTGCAGTGATCAGCCACAAGGACACAGTCCCATGGCTCGGAGGCCTCGGTCTAGGAGAAGGAGGTGTGGGGACTGGGGACCAGGGCGGGCCAGGTGCGGGGCATGGGGCAGTAGGTGGGACCAAGCCCAGGAGAGGCTCGAGCAGAGACTCACCTCAGTGGTATTGATGTCCATCTGCAGGGGGCTGTCCCCTTCGGTCCCCATCAGGATCTGGAGGCTCTCTTCTCCCTGGGGGTGAAGAGCAGACAGAGGATGGGGCTCATTGCAGCAGACAAGTACCTCCTGGGCTGGGTGCCCTGGTACCAAAGGGGTAGTTCCGGGTGGGGCTAAGTGCATGCACTGAGGCTACAGCACAAATGGCCAACAGAGGTTTGTTTGGAAACATTTACAAAGAGCTCCCCAGGGCTTCCCTGGTGGCGCAGTGGTTGAGAGTCTGCCTGCCGATGCAGGCGACGCGGGTTTGTGCCCCGGTCCAGGAAGATGCCATGTGCCGCGGAGTGGCTGGTCCCGTGAGCCATGGCCGCTGAGCCTGCGTGTCCGGAGCCTGTGCTCCGCAACGGGAGAGGCCGCAACAGTGAGAGGCCCGTGTACCGCAAAAAAAAAAAAAAAAAGAGCTCCCAGAATTTATAAGAAAAGGCAGACAGCCCAGTTTAACATGGGCCAGAGATACAAATGCACACTTCACAAAAGAGGGGCACTCAGAAGGTGCAAACATGAGCTAGGGAACCATCTGGAAAACGCAGGCCAGGTGACCAAGGAGGCACCACCTTCCACCATTTGGTAGCCAACATTTTACGGCCAGACAGCTCTAAAAACACAGGTGTGGGAGTTCCCTGGCTGTCTAGTGTTTAGGATGCAGTGCTTTCACAGCCGTGGCCCAGCTTCAATCCCTGGTTGGGGAGCTGAGATCCCGAATGTCGCTTGGTGCGCCGCTCCCCTCCCAAAAAAAAAGCCTGGGTGGGACTTCCCTGGTGGTCCAGTGGCTAAGACTCCACGCTCCCAGTGCAGGGGGCCCGGGTCCGATCCCTGCTCTGGGAACTAGATCCCACATGCATGCCGCAACTAAATCCCACATGCCGCAGTGAAGATCCCATCTGCTGCAACTAAGACCCAGAGCAGCCAAAATAAATAATAAATAAATAAATATTTTTTTTAAAAAGCCCGGGTGATCTATAAAAATATTGAATGTAATATAATATTGTAAATCACCTGAAACTAATATAATGTTGTAAATCAACTATACGTCAAAAAAAAAAAAAAAGCCCGGTGACTCAGCAGAATCCCCATGTGTTGCTGTGGCTCACACATTGGTGCAGGAACTTGGGAAACTGTTGACCATCCCAGACACTACACCCCGGGGCCAGCCACCTTTGGAGACAGACAAGGGTGCTCACAGCAGCATATTTCATATCAGAATTGTGGAAATAACCCAAATTCCCATCGGTAGGCAGATGGATGAAAACACTGTGCTATGACCACACGCAACAGGAACATGAGGGCCGCCACTGCACACAGGGCATTGGGGACCAATGTGACACGGTACTGAGTTTCCTAAAAGTAAGTCCAGTGAGAACCGTGCAGGAGCGACTGCTGCAGGCACGTCCTGGACAGACGGACGGACACTAAAACCAGCGGGCATTACCTTAAGGGGGAGCCCTTAAGGGCTCAGGTGCCGAGCCCCTGAGTCTCCCCGATTCTTTGTTAACTGTTGCGGCAGCATTAACAAACCTCACACATCCTTCTACGCTCCTGCCT